AAACCCCTTATTTCTGGATTTACTGACACATGCCTATAATCCTAGTGTTCAGGAGAGGCAAGAGGACTGAGAGTTTAAAGCCAATCTGTACTACACAGTGAGACGCTGTCTCAAAAAGCAAATCAAGGGGCCTGCCTTAGAAAAATGGCTTCACTATGTAGTCCAAGCTGGTCTTGAACTTTTGGTCTTCCTGTGTGCTCCCCGAACCTCGGTCTCCAGAATCCTGGGAATATAGGTGCATATCACTGCACTGAGTATGCCCCAAGTTTTAAGAAAAGCTTTTACTCTCAGAGTTCTTTCCTATAATTAGTGTTTTCTCCCTCTCTCTACTCAGAAAGGAAAGCTGAGAGCCAGTGATTCAGTAGTGGCTAGAATGTGGTCAGACAGATTTGCAGAGGGGACTGTGGAGCTAGCGAGATGACTCAATGAGTAAAAGTGTTTGTAGCACAAACTTGTTGACCTGAGTTTGATCCCCAGAACCCATATGGTGTAAGGCGAGAACAGACTCGCACAAGTTGTCTTATGACCTCCAAACATGTGCTGTGGTACCTGTGTGCCCAAATAAATAAATAAATAAATAAATAAATAAATAAGCTTTATCATGGACATGCATATATAGGAAAGATTCCACAGTAACTGACGGTTTCAGGTTTCAGGCATCCACTGGGTGTTCTGGAACATATCCTGAAAGAATGACTGTACTATCTCAGGAAGATCAGGAATCTTGAGGCTACAGAGGGAGACCCTGTCTGAAAAACAACAAAATTAAACAACACAACAAAAGGGCCAATATAACGGCAGCAGTACCTTCCTCCAAGCTTGACAAGTTGATGTCAATCCCCAGGAACCACTTGGTAGAAGGAGAGACTAGCCTCCCACAAGTTGTCCTCTGACCTCCATATGCACTCACATCCATACCCACCCACAAAATACCAAATAAATAAATAATTTCATAAACCATAAATGAAAAGATTCCTTAAAGACTGAGTACATAAGCCAGGCAAGCACAAACCTTTAATCCCAGCATTTGGGAGGCAGAGGCAGGTGGATCTCTATGAGATCAAGGCCAGCCCCATCTACATAGCGAGTGCCAGGCCAGCTAAGGCTACAGGGAGACACTGTCTCAAAAAGAACCCCTCCCCAAAAAGCAATGCCTTGAAGTTCTAATTATGGGTATCTATTTCTACCAGGATGGATATGATACATGGAAATTTAAACAAGCTAAGTATTTCTGATTCTGAATTAAGGAAATAGCAAAATAACTGTGTAAGTCATTAAACTTCAGTAAACAACAAAAACTTCTCAGGTGTCAGTTTAGTTTCTTAATGTTTTATTATATTATTTTAACTTTATGCATATGAGTGTATTGCCTGCATGTATGTTAGTACACCTGTGTGGCAGGATGGGCTGCTCAGCAGTGAGGCCCATTGTCACAGCTCTGTAATCTCTAGGGGACTCTCCATGATCACGTCCCGAAGCTTGTGCAGAGGGGTGGACTTGGCTGAATCTGTGCGTGCGTTGCGCTCAAAGGCAGTGGCCTCACTGGCTGTCAGTGTCTCCAGTGAGTGGCCCAGCCCCTTCTGGTCATCCTCTGGCAGGCTGTTGAGGTCAGTGGCCAGCAGTGTGCCGGTGCTGCCATGAACCACATGGATTCCATCTGGCCCCTTGAGCTCCATGGGTGGCTTGTGGCGGAAGCGCAGGCTGCCAGTGCTTGGGCTGTGCTCTCCAGGCTCCTCCTCTAGGTCTGTCTGGATCAGCTGCAAGAGGCAAAGACACCCCCCCCCAATGTGGCTCAGCAACTCCCATGAGCTAAGGCTGCACCCAATGTGTGAACAGGTGGTTGATCCATAATCCCACTGGCTGTGTGTGCTTGCTTCCTACCTCACACAAGGCGTCTACCCAGCAGGTCTGACAAGTGTTTCTCAAATGGAGGGCAGTGTGGACATTTCAAGGGGTCACCACATGTCCTCAAGCACATGGGTGTCCTGTGCTCAACTTTTATTTATATAGCACATCTCTGATGTTCACTAAAATTTTTAAAGACAATTGGCGTTATGTGGATTTATTTGGTCATGTAGATATCAACATATTCATGTGTATAATATATATGTACATGTTGTATGTCTAACTCTACTTATATTTTCCAAATATCTGCAGAAATCATAGAAATCCTTTCTAATCAGAGGTGAGACTTCATAGAAATTTACTGTATCTCTCACTCACCAATTTTACTGCTTTTCCATTATTATTGTGGTCCAAACTACAGGAGGAATATTTTAATGAAATCCTACTTTCTTTCTTAAAGTAAGATGCATTAGTGCAATGTCAAAACTAAATTTACTAAAAGCATGACAGAATTAGACATATTTTATAAGGTGTGTGTGTGTGTGTGTGTGTGTGTGTTTGTATTTAGACAAAGCAATCTAATGAATTGGAATTGAGCATTCTACTTTTTGGATAGAGGATGACAGATGGCTGCATAATATCAACTTATAGACTGGAGAAATGAAACCATGTGTGGCATGATAAATATGAAGATGCATTTGATAGAATACAATTTGAATCAACTTTATTACAGCATGAAGTGAGGTGGAAACTAGCAATTGCACAGTAACATATGAGTGTTAATAGCTTTATGATAGGATTTTGAACATACACAATATTATGAAAAAATAGAGTCAGGCTAACTTTATTCCCCCTGTACATTCACAAAATTATAGGGATTCATGCATCTTCACACACCCATTTATCACAGGAATGTGCTTTATCAATTTTAAATCCAGGACAAAACTTCAAAATGAAAAAAAAATATATGTATCTGTTCTTTTCTTTAGTGAGTAGTATTCTTCAAATACTGAAATATATTTTGCTATGTAGAAGCTGGGCATGGTGACTCATTATTCTAACATCAGCATTCAGGAGACACAGGAGGAGTACCACAAATTTCAGGCCATCCTGGCCTACATAGTGTATTTCAGGCCAACTGAAATATAAAATAATAAAATCCTTTCTGAAAAAAAAGAGAAGAAGGAAAATTTGTAAAATCCTACCTGGATCTGCCCCTTGAGTTAGTAATGCTATCTCACTTCTAATATGAGTCTGTCCTACTTCTGCTTGTACCTATTTTCATTGATAAATCATTAGGTAACACATTTAACTCAGGGTATCTTGATTTATGTATATGGGATGGCAATAAATGGTTAGAGGGAAAATCAGAGTCAGCAAAATATACCTTTATCATTTTTCAAATACATTGTTTGAAAATTTCATAGATATACACAATGCATCATAATCATATCAATCCCCACAAATTCCCTCCACCTCACCCCACCTTCCCATTGAATTAGTGCTGCTCATATGTGCACCGGTGTGAGGTCAACAAATGGGTCATATGAAAACTGCCAGTGACCACTCAGAACAGAAAACTGTTTCTCCCTCCTCCAGAGGCCATCACCTGCCAGTAGCTCCTCAGGTAGGGGTGGTGCCTCAGGAACGCCTCCCCATTCCATTCTGGAATTCTTCTGCAGCTGACCATAGTTACTGTGAGTTCACATGTACAACAAGCAATATCATGAACAGAAATAAGAGTTCGACAGCATTCCTCCTCATTCTCTGGATTTTAGGTTCTATTAGCCCCTCTTCTTTAATGCTCCCTGAACTTTGGGGGAAGAGGGATTATACATGTCCCATTTATGGCTCAGAATTTCCAAGCACTTATTCTTATCACTTGAACAGTAATGTGTCTCTGCATTAATCATGATTCCCTACAATAAGAAGCTACTTTCCACAGTGTTGGAAGCAACACAAATGTATGGCTATACAGATAAATATTTAGAAGACAGTTTGACAACATGATCATTTAGAAAAAACAAACAAAGGGTTCCCCCTTGAACCTATGACTTCCTTAGCCATGGTTTTTAAAATCATATTTAGAGTATGAAGTATGATTTATGTCCTGTGTAACACACCTCAACACACACAACACAATCAAGAGAGTGTTTGATCACTCCCATGAAGCAATCTCTCCACTACTGCACCAGTGGATAAATTTTGCCTGGCAGGTTGGATTTGTAACTTGCACAATCTGGTGATGGGTAACAACCACTGACATTTTTTTTGTCCTGCAACACTATGAGAGCTAGCCATCAAGGGAAAAGCTTCCTGGTCAGTTCAACATTGATTTATTCCTTTCCTTCAACCAGAATGTGTGCTGACCTCAGCAAAACGGTCTTATATATTTATGATGCACAGACAAGATCAATGGTAAATGGCTTTATTGGTCTGAGTATCTTTGTGATTTCCTTCATTAATATGGTAGTATCCAGTGCCTGGAAATAAGATTTTAATCATAGGTAAAATTAATATAAGCCTAGTAGGAAGAAGAAAGTATGATAACAGCAAGCTGAACACCAAAATAAACCACTAGAGTCTTGTATAATCTCAGGGGTACATTTATTCTTAAACTAATACATGAGGGTCAATTAAAGGACACTTCTGACATATCTTAGAAATAATAGACTGAAAATAGTAATGATGAATTTGGGATTCTGAGTTTGTGTTAGATCTTGTAATTTTGAAGTATCATTCTTTAAGGAAGGGAATATAGGCTCAGGAGTCAGACACAACCGAATCTTAGTTTTCACTCAGATACCTCATGTAACCTTAACATTACATATATTACCCTTCATCTACCAGCATATTTTCTAATCTGTCATGGTGATATAATTAATGCATATCTCTGGCTCACTGTGAAAATTTTAGTTTAAAATCCATAATCTTTGTCCTTAGTAAATAGTAGCTATATCAGATTATCACCCTGAGAACAATGTCTGTGTGTCACTGCAATTCATTTAAGATGATTGCTCAAACATTTAGTCTAGCTGTAGTATTTCTTAATAATGGGATAAAAAGCTCATGCTTTATTTCATACAGAATGAGGAATGGTGGAATAATTATCACTCTACTAATGAATGAAAACAAAAGAGAATAAACTAATGCAACCTAATGAGAAAGTACTTCGTCAGTGCTGCAACTTATATTTATATAATTGCCTTTCAGAATCCTCAAAATTTGATGTTTTTTTTTCAAATTTCTCTCTTAACATTACAACACTGTTACATTATATTGCATCTACTACTTTAGTTATTAGAAGGACAGGTTTATGGTCAACTAGGTTGCATCTAACATTCATTCAAAAGTTGTCAGAATCACCCATAAACCCTGAGCAGCACTATTTGAAGGAAAAAAAGAACTCAAGTTGTGATGTTTATCAAAAGTCGTATTTATACTGTCTTAGGAATTAAATTTTTAGACACAGTCTTAAACAACCTAAATGGGAACACTAAGCCCCAAGTAGGGGAAGAGAGTGGTCCTCAATTACATAGCAAGATGTAACTAGATTAGAAAGCAGAGAACAAACACAAAACATGGATTCTTTTATAACACTGAGAAAAGTGATTGAAACTGTAGTGGGGAACAGGGTTTATTCATTCAATGGGTTAATTCCTACATTGCAAATGTAACACTCATTCAACCTGTGATGTACCACTTACTTAACTCAATGAAAAAAATTTAAAAAGTCCTCATAAAGCTATAGACTAGAGGAATGAGTTAAGACAGTAAGCCATACATGCAGTTGTTTATTTTGCCAAACTATGCTGCTGGAATTTTGATCAAAGAGGAGCATAAGGCTAAAAGAGAATAGATGAGGATAAAATTAGACAGTTAATAAAGTCAGTACAAAAAATGGGATAAAAAAATTCTTTTAAAGGCTGTTCTTTCCAGGAAAATAATTCTTGGGATGCTAGCACTATATATATATGTGTGTGTGTGTGTGTCTCACTCTTTGTTCATATCCTGTAAAAAATTATAATTTTATCATATGATATCAATTCAGTGCAAGAGCTTAACTATGTATTATCCTTACTAACTATTCACTACACAAATAGAAAAAAGAAACCCATATTTCCATTTATGTTAAACCTCTTAAAACCTTTTCATTTAGTTAAACCTCTTAAAATCACCAATGTTGATCAGGACAGATTTAACCATGAAGGGGTCTCCTTGGGTCAGGGCAGCTACAAATACACCTTTAAAATAGATCTATAGCTGTATAATCATCATAAATAGTAAACAAGGTTTAGAGTTTAAGTTGTGCCTACAAATGTGGTGTGATTCAAGATTTGCAAACTAGATGTGAGAACCTCATTCCAATCTTAAGAAAATTGGAAGGAAATACATAGGAAGTTAGTGGAGAGTATCTATAAAGTCAGTTGGGCTAGAATACTGGACATGGAAGGATTTACATAGAACATAGGATTGGAAGGATGGTTTACATTGAAATTTTTGAGTCATAACTGTAGGCTAAAGGGTTTCATTTTATTTTGAAATTTTAAAGTATTTAAAGGGAATAAAAAAGACATAGTGTTTTGAAAGCTTTTCAAATATCCCACTGAGAAATAAGGAAATACTGGTTAATAATAGCTAATTACCCCAATACAGAAAACAAAAAGGGTAGAGGATGATGAAAAGTCTGAAATGAAGTTTTTAATTCTCTGTACATATGAGTTTAATGAATCTGTAATGCATCCAGCTGAAATAAAATATCAGCAGTTGAAAATTGTAGATTGGAGACTGCCAGCAAGTGAAACTATGCCTCCCTACCACCCCCACCCCACCCCACGCCCGCAAATCAAGGAAAACAGACTAAGTGTGAAGGCACTATGTCCCCAGTTATCACAGAAGAATAGAAGGAAAAGTAAACTAGAATAGGCATTTGGAGAACTGTCAGCTTTTGGATATAGGATCTTGATGAAACAACGGATATGACAGGCAAACAAGTGGCAAAATGATCAGAATGATTCTGATTATGCTGAAAGCAATCCATGTGAAAAGAAGCTGAGAAAGGAATTTTTATGTACTATAGAGAGGTAGAAATTGAATAAAATCAGTGAATGGGAAGCTTGGTTCCTGTGATTATGAGAGGCGTAGATAAAGCGTAACCATGGAAAAGGCAATGATGATGCTGACAATGGGGTTGCATAGTCAAGTGGACTGAGAATGGAATATTGCTCTGGTATGTGTCCTTCCATTACTGTAGAAACTCATACCTGTCTCATAGAACTTTGTGACTAATACATTATGAGTGCATATATAAAGAATTTGACATAGGACTGAGTATATAAAGTATTTATTAAACATATACCTTATATTGCTTATTATAATATTTAGTATAAAGAGAATGAAATCTCTGCCTCCCTATAGCTGAATGTCACATGAGATTATCTTAGAGTGTGTATTAGGAAAATAATAATGGCTTTCTTTAGACACTGCAAGCTTCTGTTTTCTAATCATGGCTGTGTACTATCTAGTTTCTTCATTTACATGTTTTCCTTTTATGATTTTTTTGATATATTAGGACTAACTTTGAATTCCAAAGTAAACAAAGTGTACAATGTTCATATTTTCTTTTTTTCTTTCCATGCTTTTTAACTTGTATGTGTAGTTAGCCTTATGGTTTTTAATGAACACTTAATTATGTTGTAGTGTTGGCATAACACATTACTAATCACTACATGCAACTTAAGAAAATATTTTTGCTGGAGAAAAATATTAGCCCTATTCTGCACATGAGTAGGCTGAGGTTCAGGGTAATGAAGTTACATCGGAAGCTACACAGTGAACAAGGATTACAGTGGAGATTTGATACTACATTTTTCATACTCTAAAATATTGTAGTTTCTCTTGTGTATTTTTTTTAAGTCATGAGATTTGGCAATGGAACAATATAAAAACGAAGAAATTTAAAATCAGTACCCTTGGGCTAAAGATTTGGTTTAGTGAAAGACTGCTTGCCTAGCTTGGGTAAGGCAGCATTCTATTCCCTCCCCCAACCCCCGAAGTGAATAAATAAATAAATAAATAAATAAATAAATAATAAATAATAAATAAAGCAAGCAGTACATATAAAAATAACATGGAAAAGAAAAAAAAAGCATGCCTGTTTCTTTTGTTTTGTTTTTATATATACTATTATTTTTTTATTTTATTTATTTTTAGAAGAAGCATTTCATTACAGCTTTAACATACTCATTAACACTTTTTAGGTTCACTGTTGAATTAATACCGTTATACAATATTGAACTCAGTATAAGCCCTGTAAGACATAATATTGAATGATATTTTAACCTTTAAAAAAGATCTCCATTTAATTTTTAAATATACTGCTTCTTACAGAAAGGCTCATTGTTTTTGCCCATAACACTGACATATTGGCACATGCATATCTAATCTGTATGTATAGACCTCACATAATGTGAGGTCTATGAGTGTCCAAAACACAAAATGCCATCTTCAGTGGAGTTAGTACAAATATCTTCCCAGTACATTGTGTTGTTGATTGGGGAGTGTCACATGATCACTGGAACTGAAAATTTGTTTTGAAATATTATTGAACAGTCATTTTTTTTCTTTTTGTATTGAATCATTGACTACCAGTTGAATTCAATTTTTAACCCTCTTGATATCTTATCTGTC